CCATCTTACAATCAGGTTGTTAATGTCTGATTAAAGAAATCACTTGCTTTGAAGCAAACAACATGTCGATGTCCTCTTTAACACCTTCCACACTTGCATACGATTTCCCATTAGGATGGTGTTGCAGCGAACTAAAAAAATGGTAATCTGATGGTGCCATATCTGCAGAATATGGAGGGTGAGAAGAACTTATCAACCCAACTCCATAATCTTGTGTTGCGTCAAACGTGCCACATGTGGACGTGCATTGTCGTGGAGAAGAACACCTTTCCGATTGACAAGTGAAGGGCGTTTCTGATGAAGGGATTGATTTAAACGTTCCAGTTGCCGATTATAGATCTCTGCATTGACATTTCGCTGTGGATTGAGGAGTTCGAAATGAATTACTCTTTGGATATACCACCAAATGCAAAGCATCACTTTCTGCAGATGGAGTTCATGTTTTGGGATCTGAAGTAGTTTTTGTCTAGGACTGAGCCATTGTTTTTGGCGTTCAATATTTGCATAGAGAATCCATTTTTCATCACCGGTGACAATTCTATCCAAAAATGGTTCACGCGCATTACGCGCCAGAAGAGAAAAAGCAACGTTCACACTTTGGAAACTATTCATCGGAGAGTTCCGTGAGGCACCCAAAAACCTTCTTTAATGAGTTTTCCCATATTCCTTAGATGTGTGCGTATTGTTTCATGAGAGTCATGGAATTTCAGTGCCATTTCACGTGTGTTGCTTTGGGTTAGACTCAACAAGAGTCTTCAGAGCATCAATATCAATTCCAACATGTCGGCCCCTGCCATAACAGTTTTTAAGGCTAAAGTCACCTGAACGAAATTTGATAAATCATCGTTGACACTTATGAACATTCAAAACATTTCAATAAACTTCTTTTATATTCTTTTTGGCTACAGAGGTGTTGTTTCCCTTCTTGTATTCAAACAATATTACATGCCGAATGTGTGTCTCGTCGTGTGCCATCATTATATGGGATTAGGTTATATTAAACTTTACACATTGTATAGGCTACACTAACGTTACGTTTAGGCCGTTCGTTTAACTAATATACGTGATGTAAGTTTTTTGAAAGGGTTAAAGTTCCAAAACGCGACATTAATTTTTTGACGACCTAATAACTGCAAAGTAAAGGCACAGTTCTTCGTCCTCTGCATTTATTGGACTTTGATTATTTTCAAGTTTAAATAAAAAAGTGTTTATTCTATTTATCCAGTAAAGCACGACTTGCTGCCTGTCTGATTTGCATCGTATTTAGTCTCTTTCTTTCTTTCTCAGACTCATTCAAATTCAGAATTATTTTGTAACATATCTCCTACTCAAATCTCTTCTTACTCTTCACTCTTGGTGGGAATCATATTTACCTGAACAATTATTATTCAGACTCACGGACGCTGTAGCTTCATCAGAAGAATTGTTGCTGAACTGTATTTTTACAACAGAATATTAGGTAAGCGAATTTGATGATTCGAAGAAATTGAATCAGAATAAATCATGACCAATTGTTTTTCATATAACAACTACTGTTGCTGTTAAGTCATATTTCATGTAAGAGCTACTGTTGCTGTTAAGTCATATTTCATGTAACAGCTACTGTTGCTGTTAAGTCATATTTCATGTAACAGCTACTGTTGCTGTTAAGTCATATTTCATGTAACAGCTACTGTTGCTGTTAAGTCATATTTCATGTAACAGCTACTGTTGCTGTTAAGTCATATTTCATGTAACAGCTACTGTTGCTGTTAAGTCATATTTCATGTAACAGCTACTGTTGCTGTTAAGTCATATTTCATGTAACAACTACTGTTGCTGTTTAGTCCTATTCTAAATGTGTTTATCCTATCTGATAGTATCAACATCATCCAGTATCTTGTATTATAAAAATGCTTATTTCACCGGACAGTATCAACATCATCCAGTATCTTGTATTATAAAAATGCTTATTTTACCGAATAATATCAAATCGGCCGATATTCTGAATATTCTAAATTCATTTTCCTTAAAGGTTAAAGAAAACTTGATTGCTACGATATTTTAGTTGATATCTTACATGTAAAGTAAGAATACCTAATTTCTCCAGCGTTTTCGACAGTATTTTGACGCAATCCTCTCGTTGTGGCATCAAACTTTCTCAACTGTACGTTTTCGGAATTTTTACAGGATACGACGTTAACCTTACTAATTATACACGTTTGTAGCTGACCAGTTGTTTAATATTCATAGAATTCTCAACTTATACAAATTTGGTTTCATTACCTGTTATCATAGCAAACTGTAGATATTACAAGGAGTTTAAAATGATTTGATTTATTTGTGTAAAATAGATATTCTGTGTATAATACGCTCTGCATTATCATTAATTATTAATTGATTTTATGATAAATGTTAAATTCTCCGTTAGATGGCACCCTCAAAACAATGTGAGTGAAAACGTCATATTATTACTCAAACTGGAGAAGTTAACGGTATCAACGGAGAGGTGAGTGTTTGTGGAATAATATTTTGTTATTTCACTTGTATAGTTAAATATGAATTAATAGACAAATAGTGAATTTAGAATATCTGCTTTTTTTTAACACAAGTGATTGTTTAATAGTCGTTTCTAATGCTAGACTGAGAATGAAATAGTTGGGATACAAATTGATACACCCTTAAAATTAAATCGTACTGAAAAAAAATAAGTAAATAAACTTTCGGTGAGTTACGTTATACTCATAAAATAAATGTGTGGAAAGTTGCATATGTTGACTGATAACTCAGCAGACCGTTGTGTACGTTGAAAGGTAATTTGGTATGGCGTTATGTTTACAGTATCGATTTTCTAAATGACCAGTATAATATTCTATAGCTGTTTATGTTTAGCGAAACTGTTAATCTCCGTTTCTCAGTAAACTTCGTGAACAGCTTTTTCAATATTTTGAATAAGATCAGTTGAATCGTTTGTTTTAGACTGAAGGTCACATTCCTAACATACTTCGATGACGAGGAACCCACTTTGAGACTAATAATGGCTGGAGATGGCTTAAATGGGTAATGACGAAAAACTTTAATATAAGTTTAACATGACAGCAAATGTCTTAAGACTCAAGAAACTTCTTCCAATCACTAATCCTTCAAGACATGCCGAGGAGTTTGGCTCGAACTTTATCTTTGGAGGCAATTTCTCACCTTTCAATACTAAATTGGGTCAAATGTTTGTAGCTATTGAACCAGATCGATCAACATACTGCAAGGCTTCTCATCTTTAACTAATGAACTTCTTACCTCATTTGAGATAGATAAAGCTAATTGTTGCCTCTTAAGCAGTGGTGTAGTGCTAAATAAAGACGTAAGGGAACGCATTCTGAAAGTGTTACTATGATTAGTATTGATTACGTCAGCAACACATAAAAACATATTTCAGAAATAGTAGCTGTAACTTGTAATTGTAATTAAAATCTAGATTTGAAACTGTTACAATGAAAAAAATTCTCACATTGAACTTTTGAATTCCTGTATAACGTATTAACAGAACTTTCAAATTTGGTCTATAGTGAGTTCTTTAGACTTATATCAGTTGCTGAACGATGGCACCTAAGCCATTAGTATCCATAGTCGACTGGTTTCCAGTTTTGAATCAGAGGGCCGTGAAGCTAATGAGCATGAGAGTTGTGACATGGTTTCCGTAGTGATAAGTTCATTCTTCTAAATCCTCGTTCGCATTCGGAAAAACTTCATGGGATGACTTTTGAACACCCGATGGAAGGATTCAAATCTGATAGAATATGACGCCTACAGTTGTCCAGAAAGTCTCTGTATGTTGTGGCTGTTTTTGAAAATGGCGATCTGAAACGCTTACAAAGGAACTCTACACAGCGTGGTCACAAGTAAATAGACACCACCTTTTCAGAAAAAATTAAATTTTTTAGTCATATTCATATGAATTGATATATTTATGATTTAATTAATATCTAGTAGATCTTCCTTTCGCTTCGTGGAGTTCGTTGATCCT